GGCCGGTACTCAATGTTGAATTGAGTTAACATCATCGCCCATTTCACCATCCTCCCGGAGGATGTTGAATTTCGCAAGACTGCACCCAGCGGTTGGTCAGTCAAGACTTCCACCGGGTGGGCTTGGAAGTAGGATGTTAACTTTTTTGCGGAGATGAAAAGCGCGTAGGCTGTTTTTTCCATCGCCGTGTATCTACTTTCTGCTCCGTTTAGTGCTTTGCTCACATAATAAATGGGCTTTTGTGCCCCATCATCCCTTATTAAAACAGAGCTTACAGCATTTGGGGAAATTCCCAGGTATAGATACAGAGTTTCACCCGGCTGGGGTTTAGATAGTACAATATCTGACACTAGGTACTCTTCCAGTTCCTCGAACGCCCTCTGGCACTCACCGTCCCATGCAAAAGTGTTGGCCTTCTTCAGGACTTTGAAGAAAGGCAGGGACCTCTCAGCTGACCGGGAAAGGAACCGGCTGAGTGCCGCTAGACGACCGGTCAACTTTTGGACATCCCTCACAGATGTAGGGGCTTGCATTTCAGTGATAGCCCGGATTTTTTCTGGGTTGGGCTCTATTCCTCTCTTGGTCACCATGAACCCCAAGAACTTCCCGGTATGAACCGCGAAGACGCACTTCTTGGGATTCAACCGGAGGTTGTATCTTGCCATGATATCGAATGTGGCGCGCATATCAACCGGGTGATTGAGAGATACCTGGCTTTTGATTAGCATGTCGTCGACGTATGCCTCCATGGTCTTTCCCAACAGTGGCTTGAAGAGCTTGTTCACCATGCGCTGGTAGGTTGCCCCCGAATTTTTCAAGCCAAACGCCATTACCCGGTAACAGTAGGTTCCTTCGGGTGTGAGGAATGACGTCTTCTCTTCATCCTCCTTGGCCATGTAGATTTGGTGGTAGCCCTTGAAGGCATCCATGAAACTCAGGAGTTCGCACCCCGCAGTTTCGTCCACCATTTGATCAGGACTGGGGAGGGGGTATGAATCCATCGGACAAGCCTTGTTCAAGTCCGTATAATCCACACACATTCTCCATGTGTCGCCTTTGGGAGCAAGGACAACGTTGGCCAGCCAATCCGGGTATTTAACTTCCCGAATGTGACCAACACTAAGGAGGTCCTTCACCTCCTTCTTGACGAAGTCTCGCCGGTCGCTGACCAGGTACCTTTTCTTCTGGCGTACCGGTCGACTTCCTTCCCTTACTGCCAACCGGTGACAGACGATTGAGCGGTCAATTCCGGGCATATCTGCCACGCTCCATGCAAATATGCCCGCGTACTCTTGGAGCACCCGTGTAATCTCTGCCTTGAGATCTTCTGGGAGGTTGGCTCCGATTCTGACCATCCTTGAAGAATCACCCGGGTGAAGTTCGATTTCCACCGTCTCGGCCTCGGGCTCCAATTTCTCCCGGGTCTCTCCCTTGGTGATTTCTTGGGAGATGACGTTGACTCCCTTGATCATCTTCTTAACTGCCCAGGCATAGCACTCCCGGGCGTTCCTCTGGTTGCCCTTCACCTCACCCACACCACCTGGAGTGTGGAACCTCATGCACAGGTGAGGCATGGAAATCACCGCCCCGACCTTGTTAATGCCAGGACTTCCAAGGATGGCGTTGTGGACGCATTTGATGTCCACAACGATGAACCGCATTCTCTTCCACACGGTCTTTTCGCCCGATCCTAGTTCGACCGGTAGAACTATGGACCCCTCAGCTTCCACTATGTCTCCCGTGAAACCTGAGAGAGGAGTTTTGAGGGGTTCAAGTTGTGTCCGACACAACCTGAGTTTTTGGAAAGTCTCCAGGTATAGGATGTTGACACTGCTGCCTGTGTCAACAAGTACCCGGGCGACGTCCACCCCGTTGATGTCCATGGTGATGACCAATGGATCATTGTGATCTTCACCGGTAGGAGGGAGGTCCCGGTCAGTGAAGACTATTGGCTCCCTCCTGGGATACTTACGCCGGGCCGGTTCGACATTCACCTCACCAACGTAAATGCTGCGAACCCAGTTTTTCCGCTGCGCGGCTGAATCTCCTCCTTCGGGTCCGCCAAAGATCATCCCAATATGTTCTTTATCAGGGGCTAGTTGTTGCTCCCTTTGCCGGTTGTTCCTCCGCCGGTCATTGTCCCGGTCATTTCCTTGGGTCGCTGGCCTTACCCATTGATGGTTCTTCTCCTGGGCTTTCTGCAGATAATCCTTGCCCAGTTCTCCGCTGTCTATCATCTGCCGGATGACTCCCTTAACACTCTTGCATTCGGAGGTGTTATGGGAATCTGACCTGTGGTAAGAACAATAGGTGCCCGACCACTGCCGTCCTACTTGACCGGTAGGATTTTCCGGAGGGTTGACCGGGTAAGGAGCCGGTGCTTTCCTTACCTCCTGGCACTCTTCCCTGTTGACCACGCGGACGACCGGGTCATAGTGATGTCTCGGCCGGTTGGGTCCCGGCGCTTCTTCCTTCTTGACCTGCACCGGCTTGGGCTTATAACCATGCTCAGCTTCTTTCTTCGCTCGGAGTTGAGTTTCAGCCTCAGCAAACTCCCATGCAGTGTGGTAGGCCTCCTGATACGTGGCCGGGGGTTTTCGGCAGAACTCCTTGTAAAGTTCCCCAGCACGCAAGCCGTTCAGGAGGAGGGACAACACCGTCTTGTCGTCCATCTCCTCAACCTTGTCTACCTCCTCCTTCCACCGGGTAAGGAACTGAGTGAGGTTCTCAGATTCCCTCTGCCCGGCTGTACTAAGATAGGTGAATTTCTTCCTCTTGGTACAGTTCTCCTGGAACTTGGCCTTGAACTTCGAGGCCAAGTCGCTGAATGAGTCAATGCTTCCCGGGCGAAGCTTGTTGAACCACTCGGTGGCCCGATTCCGCAAGGTCTGGAAGAAAAGGAGGCACTTTTCTTCATCTGTGCAACCGTTCATGGTTGCACTCTGATTGAAGGAGTCCAGGTGGATTTCTGGGTCCTCCTTACCGGTGAACCTTGGGGCGTCTATCTTAACCTTTCGCGGGAAAGGTGTCAGATGGACCCTTGCGGTGAACGGGGATCCTGCAAGGGGTTTATCCCGGTCATTCTTCTCTCCAACCTTCTTCTCCAGCCTCTCCAGCTTTGCCTCCATCTGTTGGACGCGATCATTGGGGGTGGTTAACCGGTTAGCCACCGGTACCCTGGGTTGGCTTTCTGCCTTTTCCTCCTGGCGAGAGGCCCTCGTCCTGGCTGGCTCTTTCCGGTTTGACCGGGAGCGTTGGGTGCGGGCAGGCTCGGCCTCCCTCATCTCGCCTAACCGGGCGAAAGCGCTGACATGGGCAACGCTTTGCCCCAGCCTTAGCTTGGCTGATTTTCTCTGGCCCTCCTCCCTATCCCCCAGCCTTTCGAAGGCGGAGTTTCGGGAGGTGGCGGGTCGGATGGTTTTTCCCTTCTTCTTCTTGTGGGCCCTCGGAATGTCCCACTCGTCGTCTCCGCTTTCAACCGAGACGCAGTGTCCATCCGGAGTGATTAACGGATTCGTACCTTGTGGGGGACGCGATGGCCCTGCGGCGTTGAGCGCACCAGTCAAGTTGACAGGTGCCATGGTGCTGACCAGCTGCGGCTGGAAAGGTGATGGTTGCGGAATTGGCGTCTGAAACGGCGTCACCGCCATCGGGGCTTGTAGGGGCATGGTTCCCGTGCCCGGAAGAGCGAACGGGAACATACCAGGGATGAAAGGCATCCCCCCATTTTGTTGGCACATAGCCATGACCTGGCCAAAGCCCTGGATGGCCTGCAGGTTAGCTGGGTCATTCATGAATTGAGTCATGCTTGGTGGGAAACTGACCCTCGGTCCAGCGGAAGGGACGGGGGCCGTGAATGGGCTTACCATGCTGGGTGTTGGGACCGAGCTTAGTCCCAACGGCAAAACCGGAGTTGAAACGGCTGGCAGGGTAGCAACCATGGGGATGCTGGTACCCTCAGTGGTGGCTTGCACCTGAGCAGAGGTAGCGTTGATTTGCTAGCAGGAAGACATTTTGAGTGGTGTTTTTGTGGGTAAGTTTGTGTTTAGAAGAGAAGAAACCTTAACGGTCCCACGGATGGCGCCAAAAATGATGGTGTAAATTACTTGACCGGTCAAACTATACTAGACCGGGTCTAGAATAGTTGGCTTGATTTCGTAAAGTAAAGAAAGTAAAAACACTCGGAACGACCGGTAGGACTTTAGGTGGAACACCTGTAGCCCGAATTATATTAAAACAAGGAATGCACGGTCACTTTNCCTTCCTGAGGTTTACATGCGTATTTATACTAGGCTAAAGGGGGACAAGACCGCGTGCACCCACGTGGGATCATGCTGCCGCAGGTGGGAGGTGACTGCTGAGCTGCCTTGTCCTTTTGCGCGGGGGGCTGCGCCTTTGTCGCGTTCTGACTTGGAAATGTTCCTTCGGCATCTCTGCAATTCCAACCACTACAGTCCAAGTCCTTTTGGATTCCTCCTGCTGACACTCTCCGATCTTCGGAAACTAGACCGGGTGATCTTTTAGGGTTGGTTTGGCTAACTTCGGAGGATGAATTTAGGCGATGGAATAGTTTGACCGGTATACTAATCCGAAGTATACCGGTCAACTTTTTGGTCAACCAGCCATTCCTTTGCTGACGACTCAGATCTCCCTTTCAAGTTTGACTTCTTTGACCGGTCAACTTTCGGATTCGGACCCTTGACCGGTCATGGGTGAAATACACCCATCAATTATGTTATTAGGGAGTAACAATGAATATATGTATAAAACACAAAGTACACTTTAAAGTGTACTTTCGGATATGACCTTTAAAGGAAGCCTAAAAATAGGGGGGATATTATTATGGATAAACCCAAAGTTTCGTTCCACGACCTTTATGCATGCCAGTATATATATAGTAAGGATCTCTCTTTGTGGATCTCATCTATTATCTCTCATATCAGCAGTTATATTACTCATTCAGCAGCCAGTGGTTGGGGCCACCAAATTAAATCATGACGACAGCTACCGGTGGCATTGAAGGCGGCGTTGATTTTTCCGGCCACGTTCCGGGGAGAAACAAATATGCACTGGCCTGCTCTCTTTTAGCTTCCCTCGCTTCCATCTTGCTTGGCTATGGTATACTTAACTCATATGTACTAATTAGTATGTACTATCAGTTTCTTCTTTGTTGTTCGTAAATGTTCTTATCATGCAGTATTCTAATACTCCCACCGTCCATAATTTATCTTCTCATTTTCTTTGTTTGTCCGTCTATAAATTATCTTATTATTTTCGCAAATTCTTTTTTATACCACATTACTACCCTCACTTGTACCCATTAATTACAATTCATACCCACTTAGATTATGATATTTTCCTATGTTTACAAATGAATCTATTAATTCAGATTAGTCTCTCTGTTTCTTAAAATATTTTCTCTTTCATTTTTTCTTTTCCCAAGACACTTTCATTTTTTATTAAAAAACCAATTTTAACCTTACTTTTTCTTACCCTATCTATTGCATTATACTTTTTCACTAATAATCTACCCATTACACTTTACTTTTATTTATCACATCAAGGGCAAAATTATAATGTCAACCATAACTATACACTCCTTATTTTAGTCTAAAATCAAAATAAGAATGATTCTAAGAAACAGGTGTAGTATTAAATTAAACTGACTTGATGTATATCCAAACGCAATTTATTTTTGGCACACATTGGGATCAAATTTTAAAAACATTGGAAGGATTTTGTATATTTAAATGACCAATCATGTTGGGTGTAACCCAAAAATTGTATCCCAAAATGTATCATAAAGATTTAAACTTATATTTTAATGGGTTACATTGACACAAAATCTTGGTGCCATCACAAAATTTTGCACTGAAATTTTATCTCAATTTAAGCTATCAATCTCGCAGTAACATTGACACGAAATATAAGAATAAATCTTTGAAGTATATTTTGAGGTAGAATCTTTGGGTACAAGTAGATTTATTCTTAAATTGCAAATTTGAAGTTTAGCTTGAATTGGTTTGCCAAATATTTATTCAATCCTTAACAGATATTGGGGTGATGAGTGGAGCCGTGATATACATCAAAGAAGACCTTAAGATAACGGACGTCCAAGTGGAGATCCTCGCCGGGATACTCCACGTCTTCTCCCTCATTGGATCCGCAGCCGCCGGGCGGACCTCCGACTGGATTGGCCGCCGCTACACCATTGTGGTAGCCTCCGTGATCTTCTTCGCGGGGGCCATCCTCATGGGTTTCGCCGCCAATTACGCTTTCCTCATGGCCGGCCGCTTCGTCGCCGGCGTCGGAGTGGGGTACGCCCTCATGATTGCTCCCGTTTACACCGCCGAGGTCTCTCCAGCGTCCTCCCGTGGCAAACTCACCTCCTTCCCCGAAGTTTTCATCAACGTCGGTACGTCTCATCTTTGGCTTTAGTAACTGATACTCCCTCCGTCCCCGTCCCAAGAAGTCTGTTCCGTTTCGAAAAAACTGCATCCCTTAAAGTTCGTTCCATTTCTATTAAAAAATCACTTTTAATTTACCCCTTACTTTTCATACCCTACTTATCACATTATACCTTTTTACTAATAATCTACTCAACACATCCTACTTTTACCTATCACATCAAGGGTATTTTTGGAAAGTCAACACTAAAATTTCCCTCCTTATTTTACCACTTTAGTCAAAATGGGACAAATTTTTTGGGACGGAGGAAGTATATTTTTTCAGTTAAGAATCTAAAGGCGGACAAATGACAGGTATTTTATTGGGATACGTGTCCAACGTTGTATTCTCGAAGCTCCCGCTCCATCTGACGTGGCGATTAATGCTCGGCGTAGGGGCAATTCCATCAATCTTCCTAGGCTTCAGCGTTGTGACCATGCCTGAGTCGCCCCGTTGGCTCGTCATGCAAGGGCGACTTGGCGAAGCCCAAAGCGTATTGAACCGGACATCTGACACCCTGGAGGAGGCACAACTGAGGCTCGCCGACATCAAGGAAGCCGCCGGAATACCGGAACACGTCAGAGACGACGTGGTCCCGGCAACCAAATGCCCGAAGGGCGCCGGCGGAGAGGGGGTGTGGAGAGAACTGTTCGTATCTCCGACTCCCGCCGTCCGCCACATACTACTCATTGGTGTCTGCTTTCACTTCTTCCAGCAAGCGACCGGAATCGAAACCGTGGTCCTGTACAGCCCGAGGATATTCGAGAAGGCCGGGATAAAGTCCGACCACAACAAGTTGCTGTGCACGGTGGCCGTCGGATCCATCAAAACTCTGTTCATATTGATTGCAACATTCACTTTAGACAGGTATATCTTTATTCATTTCTCGTTCATGTAACTCTATCCTCAAATTGTGCATGTGATATAGAGAGATGCAATGTTAGGCCAATAAATTGGTGTAAAATTAATTTGTCTTTTATAGAGAGTATAATACTCTAGAAATCACCCTAAATAGGATTAAAATATATAGAAAAGTACCAAAAATAGGACTTTCATGTTTTTTCTCGAAATAAGACTTTACACTGTGGTAATATGGCAGTGTATATGTGCACATTATTATACTTTTTTTGGTAATGTATATGACCATGTTTAGTAATGTGAGTCCTATTTCGAGAATAAAAATATGAAAGTCCTATTTTGGTACATTTTTAATGTTTTAGTCCTATTTTGATCTTTCTTTCATAATACTCTCTCATTTGCAGATTCGGGCGTCGGAAGTTGCTGCTGACTAGCATCGGCGGCATGGCGGCGTCAATGGTGTTTCTGGCCATAGGGTTGACGGACCACAAGGTGACGTGGGCCCTGGTGCTGAGCATCACGATGGTGCTGTCCTACGTGTCGTTCTTCTCCATGGGAATGTGGCCCATCACGTGGGTGTACAGCTCGGAGATATTCCCGCTGCGGCTGAGGGCCACCGGGTGCAGCGTCGGGGTGGCGGTGAACCGCACGATGAGCGCGGCAACGTCCATGACGTTCATATCACTGTACAAAGCAGTCACCATCGGCGGCGCGTTCTTCTTGTACAGCAGCGTCGCCGTCGTCTCGTTCGTGTTCTTCTACACGTTGATGCCGGAAACCAGAGGGATAACTCTTGAGGAAATGGAGTCCCTGTTTGGGAGTTTCTTCAAGTGGAGGTCCACTCTGAAAGAGCTGGATAATTATGAAGCCGCCACCGCGAAGAAGGCGGCTAACCCGCCGCAGCGGGTTCAAATGTCGAGCTCCAATGATGAACACCGGCAGTCGGGATAATCTTAATAACATATAGTTGGTTGATCGATCGAAATGATCACAATATAGTTTTTTTGTTGGTTCATTTCCGCCGATCATATCAAACTAATAAGCAATAGGTAGCTAGGAGAATTGGTTCTTATTATTATGATGATGATGATATAATATAAATTGTGCTTTTTATTTGTAAATGGGGATTTTGATGTCCCCAATTCAATGCAATGATATGCACATATACAACTATATTAAGCTGAAAAAATAAATTAAACAGGACGGATCCGTACTAGATAGGCAGATCGGACCGACCGAAACAAGAATCAAACACCAAGTCGGTTCAATCAACCCTCTAAAACCCTAGAAAAAACTAAGCCAATCGGAAAAAACGCATAACAATTGGTGGAGAATGTTTGTGTTTGATGAGCACATTTCATCACTTCTATAATTTCACACTTTTAGCTAATCGAACTTCATGGCTTTGGTGGAGAATGTTTATGTGTAACATTTTTCTTAGTTAAAAGTTTGAAAAAATAAATCATTTTCCAAACTTTGGCTACTTTTGACACACTAATTCCAGAGTGGTGATGCAAATGAAAGTTATATATGCGCACACACAAAACATCAATACTTGTATTAAAAAATTGTATGGATAAATGGATAATAGTTCAAAAATAAATAAAAACAAGGCAAAAATTTGGAGTAGAAAAATATATACGAAGAATGGTTTAAATAAAGGGTTTCTATAGTAGACCTAACATTCACAAAAAATGTGATCCTAACATATTTTTTATTGCCTCTCTCAAAAATTTTGTACAACTTTTTTTGCACTCACAATTGAGAAACTTTGACAATTGATTAAATATAATTTAAATTTTAAGTATTATTATAAAAATACTTTTATTAAATTTATCTTATAAAATATTATTTTATCTAAATAATATGTCATGTAATTTTTATTAAATTACACGGTGCAGGTCAAAGTTCGATCTTGGGTAATTACAAAAAATCAAAATAGCACAAAAATTCTGGAACAGAAATAGTGTTTTTTATTTATAAAAAAATTCATCTCCGGTAAAGATTTGTTTATCATGCTCATCAATGTGTTTATACCGGTTTAGAATTTGGCCCATTTGGCATCAGCATCAAGATTAGCATTAACGTTTTGAAAAGAATATCTGACGGTAGCCTTTAGCGTTAGCGTTTTCTCTACACCGTTAATATTTTATCCAAAATGCTAACGCTAATTGAAAATGTTCTTCCCAAACAAGGCCTTTGCCTTTTAGCATTGGTTCAAATAAAAGCTATATTACCGCTAACATGATGACAAGGATAATATACAATTATAATAACAGCTTTATTAGTTATGCTGTTATAGACCTCTTGCAGCCCTTACATTTAGGAACACTCCTACTTATTCTCGGCCAAGTGGAAAAAAAATATGAAAAAAAAGAGTAATAATAATAATAATAATAAGTAAATAGAAAAATTAGGAAATTAAACTAACCCAGATACTAAAAACGAAAAACAAATAAATGAAATAAACAAATAATCAAGAGATTAACATGTGTAGTTATGTACGATGTCCCCAACAGTCGTCCACTTAAAGCTGAACCATCCCCACCATTTTCGCTCCTCTCACTCCTCTCTTTTTACTCAGTCTTTTCCCTAACGTTTTAAAAAAAATAAAACAGACTCTACAGATGGAACAAGCACACAGAACAAATAGAAACAAAAACAAATCAAAGATTTAAAAATAAAAAAAACCACACACACACACACAAGAAACAGAAGGGACGAAAGAGATCACCGGAGAGGGAGAGATTCATTCATATAATTTTGATGACACGGAAGGGGGGGACGAGCCAGGCGTGCGCATCGTGCAGGTACCAGAGGCGGCGGTGCAAGTCGGACTGCCCGCTGGCGCCGTATTTTCCGGCGGACCAGCCGGACATGTTCCACAACGCGCACCGGCTCTTTGGGGTGAGCAACATTACCAAACTACTCAAGCAGATAGATCCTAACCTGAGAGGGGTGGCGATGAAGTCCATCATAGAGGAGGCCAACGCGCGTGCCAAGTACCCGGTGTACGGATGTGTGGCTGAGATCCAACAGCTGATGCTCAAGATCCAGCTGGCCGAGGAGGAGCTCATGGCCGTCCACTCCCAATTGGCATTCTACACACAACAACAACAACAAAGGCCTGATCATCACCAGCATGATAATAATCCCCTTCTTCCCTGCTTGCAGCTGGGAACGGCGGCGACGGTTGTTAATCCATCGCCGCTGCAGTATACGGCGGCGGCAGCCGCCATTCCCGTTTCTCATAATAACCCATCCACTTACTTTTCTGCTTATGCCAATATTGATAATTCCAGAGACAATTCTTGTTGGGTTCAACAGCTTTATGAGAATGGGAATGGCGGGAATAGCAGTAATAATAATAACAATAATCAGATGGTGATGATGGTGCAACAAGAACCGGCAGAGATGGGGTTGGGGAGTGGGCCGCGGCCAGCGCCGCCACAGGAGCAGCCCATCACTATACAAGTGCAGGGAAACATTGAGGATGATGATTATGATGAGATTATGTATCCATTTTTTGACACCATTGATGATAGACAATCATACATCGACTCCAAGGAACCATATGAATCCAGGTAATACATTTAATTAAAGCTCTAGCCTTAATTGTTGAACATTGAGGTGTACTTCTGGTACTGTTTTACTATCCCCTTGACAATTTTACATAGTACTCCAAAACTATTTGGCTCTTATCCTGTACAAGACCATTCTACATGTGTCCTTAACACATGACATGGCTGAGTACATAAAGAAAAGGTCATGATTTTGTCATCTAGAAGAGAGAAACGTATTGTGTTCCGTCCGTCTACCAGTGGTAGGCGGACTGACTCTGTCGTGAAGTGAGAATGTTTTAATGGTCTCACCACGGCAACAATACCACAAGAGTAGGGCCTAGGTAGTGTGTGCATATGCAAACATTACCCCTACTAGGAAGTATTGAGACTATTTTAACAGTCTCATGTAAGATAAAATGACTAAAACACCATGAGCTGCCTTTATGGGAGTCATTCCTAAAAGTTGGGATGCGAAATCGTACAAAAACTAGCTAAGGTACAATAAATTGTACAACACATAAAGGTGGTATAGCTAAGGTACTCTATCAATGCATTCAAAATAGTTGGAATTTCTGAACCTTTCTATGTCTACTGTATATGCAGTTCAGAATCATCATTCAAAGATATAGCGCAATCCGTGTCTGAGAACGAATTAAAGAATGCTGCAGCTTGTTTCACTCTCACCAGTATCAACGTATAGAAGTGAAGCAAACCATATGTTCAGAATGAAGCAGAAATAAAAGATTACCAGCCTGTAGTTCTGCCATTTACTTTAATCATCAGGAGTATGCTCTACTAATTTTGTTTACTGGGAACTTCATATCTTGCTCTCTCCTCTCAAAAAGGGAGCTTGTGTTTCCTGCAATTCTGCAATTCATACATAGATAATATTTCTCCTTGTTTCAGTGAGGATTGGTGCACATGCAAGTAAAAAAGGGCAGCCCGATGCATAAAACATTTTGCCGAGCTATATGGGAGTGGGTCCCACCATATGGATGTGATGTAGACAAACCTTAAATTGCATTTTTTCAAAAGGTTACTTCAAGAAAATTATGTTATAAGGGTCATGATGTACGCATTCATGCAAGTCAAAAGATGCCAAAAATAATGTATTCACACCTGCATGATATTATCCTTTAATCTATGAAGCCAGAATCTAAGTCAATGTGATCTGCAGATGTTTATACCATTTTTCTCATCCTAGCTGTAAACATCTGCTATGATCACCATGCAGTCATGCACATCACATTACAGTGCATACTTGAATAAAGAAACATTATTTGCCCCATATTTTAAACAAATACTATGGGTAAATCATCTGGAACACTGCCAACCCACAGGTTATTATGAGTTATCATGACGAAGTTCAACAAGCAATATGTGGATTGATCTGCTGAACATACAGGAAATGTACAAAACAAAAACAAAACAAAACAAAAAAAGCAACTTCACAACCATAGCAATTCATAAAGGAAAGAGGAAAACAGTGGCAGAGCAGGAGAAAAACAAAAGAATAAAATCATGGGGGTACAAGTTGTCCATAGTCCTCTAGGGCGCTACAGGGAGAGCTCGGTTTGCCCAAAACAATAAAGAAACTGCTTAACATTCACATCCAGATGCCCTCGGCTGACTGCTGCTCCCGCCAACATCTATGGTGTCCGGAAAGTATCTTCACCACAAAAAATCCAGCGAGAATTATCAGTACAATTTTAGATCAAGTTCTTAAAAAAACAAAAAAAAGGTAGATATTTAATGCTAGTAGAGACCACCAAAATTAAATTCCCCATCACTAATGGATAATGAAATAGCCTCATAAGAATGAGGATCCCTCTTTGTTCAATCCTAATTAATATTCTTAAAGATGCATATGGTTACAGATAGAGATATAGTCTGTCAACACCGGCAAATCTTTCAAAAAAAAAAAACCATCAGCCCTTTGAAGGTAGTGGTAACGTTTGCATACACCCAACCCCAGACCCCACTTGTGAGACTTCATTGGGTAGGTCGTTGTTGTATATGGTCTCTCAATAAGTCAACAAATGATTTACTTCATCGTGTATGAGTGAACTTACATTTCTTCCTCTTCCCCACTTTTCAGGGCATTTTTTGCAATGCATTGGAAAGCGTCTTCCACATTGAAGCCTTCTTTGGCAGAAGTCTCAAAGTATGGGATGTTCCCTTTTGAGGCACACCAAGCCTTTGCCTTCTTCTCAGATACCTGCAGAGCATTGTGAAAGAGAGAACTTATGCTGTCATCTAAAATAGTGCACAACTAAAGAACAATCAGTATGGGAGTAGTCAGACAGCTTACCACTCGAGAATTGCCGCCGTCAACATCAACTTTGTTGCCAATCACCACAAATGGAAAATTTTCTGGATCAGAAGGGCTTGCCTGTACTTAAATTAATTCTTTCAGACCAAACTAGATAGGAATCATAGTACTTATAGAAACAAAAAAAAGTAGTAAATAGGTATAATTGTGAATCTAGTTATACTGATAAATACCACAAAATCAACAACTTATTACACAAATTGTCACCTGAATAAGGAACTCTTCCCTCCAGTTGTTCAGGTTCTCAAAAGACTTCATCACATTTACATCGTAGACAAGGACACAACAATCTGCACCCCTATAGAAGGCTACCCCCAGACTCTGAAATCTCTCCTGACCAGCTGTATCCCATATCTACAATATGATACGAATCAAAGCTCAATTTCAGGATACAATAATATAATTCGTTGTACATAATGAATAGGGATATACGGTACTAGTTAAAAAAGATATCCTGCATAAGTTTAGGTGTAGGTTTATTTAACCTAGGAATTTCTACCGACAAAAGGCAAACTCTTTACAGAGCATTTTGAATTAACAATTACTATCACTGGGGAAAATCTAAATTTGAAATGACATTTACAAAAAAAAACTTAAGACCATCTTCCATACGATGAGAATCTCATTACGGCAGTCACTTCGAATTCAATTACTGTGTCTATAATCTAAAAGCATAACTACATAAGAAAATAAAAATGTTAAGCTTTATAGCACAAACTAGATAAACAATTTTCATAAAGATTTAGAGCAAAAAAGAATCAACATCCTAACCTGATGGATAGATCAAACTTAAAAATCCAAAAGTCTCCGTAATTGAATTGGTGATCTAAACATCTGAATGCCATCTCACTAACCTGTAAAGTGAATAGCCTATCTTCAAACTGCACTTCCTTGGTCAAGAAATCAGCTCCAATGGTAGCCTTATACTGATTGCTGAACTTCTTGTTTACATATCTATTATCTTAATTCAAGGCACACACCAAGCAAAACTAATCCTAAACAACACTAGGATCTATGGTGCACAGGAAGGGAGCGGATAGACACCAAGTACCCAATATGAAATTTTCTGGAAACATTGCATACTTGAAGAAGTTTCTGAGCAACATAGACTAGGATTGTGAAAAAAACAGAAAATTAGCAAAGAAAAAGGATACTGATTCATCAACGATGTCTTCCCGACCCTGCAAATCAAACGCCAAAAAACATATTTCAAATCAGACGCAGCAGAATCATAATCAGATATATTACAACGCTCTAAATCACGACTGATTCAATCCGGGACACAAAAATGAAGAAGAATTTGCAATCAATAAGTTCAATAACTGCAAGTCCGTGATACCCTAGTAAGAGCTGTTTTGTACTGACCCGCTGTCGCCGAGGATGATGACCTTCAAAAGCGTTCTTCTGCGAGAAGGCATGGTTTTGATTCGGGCAGATACGACCCGATCGGTACGGCCAACTGAGATGCCAACCACTTTTCTAGAAAGAGAAAGAAAGGCGATTTTACAGTGTTGCAGACAGACAGTTGGCAACGATGAGTCTTCTTCTACTTAAACAGGAGAGCGTCAATTTGTTTTTTATATGTACATTTTTTATTTTTCTATTTTTTCTTTTCACCGTATTTATTTAAAAAAAATTAAATAAATAAAAAGATGATAAAAATTGGTGGTGGAGAAGGGGGTGGGGGGACAAATGGGTACACCTTTGGTATACCCCTAGCATTGCTCTTTATTTTATTCTAGCAAGATCATTGACACTAGATGATGGATGAAACTTGTTAAATTAGCTTCTTCGCACCCCGTTTATAAAATTGATAATTCATACATTCGAGCCTCTACTTTAAACTTTCCACTGCACTTCACATTAGTGCAACTGAGGGGTCTGGGAGACTGGGACACATGAGTCGGGTTGAGGTGAGATGCGATAAGGAATTTTGATAAGAGATTAGGGAGCAAGTACTATAATATTGCATTGGATCACCGGAGAAACTCCAAATGAACGAGTGTCATTCGTTGACACTAGATGCTAGTGCCAACGGAACATTGCCAATTTTATTCATTTATTTAAATTTTCACCAAGTATATTTGCTTAGACCAGAATCCTCTATCTCCAAATAATTTCTAACATCCTTATCTCAGTAATCAAAATTTGAAGTCTAACTCACTCACTCATGGTGGTCATGGAAATACATTATCTTATCCTACCCATAAGATATACTCTCTAATCGTGTTAAATGAGGGAATCTTAAGATATAATTGTGTTAAATGAAGGGATGAGGTGTGTTAAGTGCCAAACTTTAATTCGTGGGACAGAGAGTTGAGACACCATTTGAAGACAAAAAATTCGTGTTGTTTCTTTGTTAGAAAAATCAAGAGATTGTTTATAATTAAATTTTAATTTATAAGTGAACTAATAACATGCTTCTTCTAATTTAAAAATAAAAATTTTATGTCATAAAAATACAAATTAGTCGTATATATTTATTTTTAAAATTTTTCCTCCCTATTTATTAGTAGTATTCTAAAATAACTTATCTAATAAATGAGTATTTACATACTTATGAATTAAAAATTATTTATTTGCAATGAGCTAGTAAGAAGGAACGACGTCGTTTAGTTTATCAATCCATATCAGCTACTCGGATCCCCAATTCCCTGTCCATTTTCGACCGGCCTGTAAACCTTCGCCCCTCATCGGCGATTCTCGTCCCCGCCCTCCGTCGATTCTCTGTCATTCTGCCGCCTCCGAGTCGCGAACGCCGTCTTCCCGTCTCCGGTCTCATCTTCTCCGTCCTTCCAGACAAATCCAGTCGGTCACAGCCACAGCCCACAGGTAATTAGTTTTGGTTATTTTATGAAAATAACTATTTAATTATTACGGAGTATCAAGCATGATTTATGATAATTAATATATGATTCTTTTTGAATTTTATACCTTTATTCACTACTAGTTGATTGAAGATTTAAAGTGAATAGTATTAGTGTTCAATTTATGTCTAAATTGTGTAATTAAATTTTACTTTTTTTTTTTACTTAGAATTTACAATGCAAAGATATTTCAAATATTCTTCCTGAATTTGTATGTATAATCGGGATGAAATACAGTTAATTCTCTTTCTACATTTTTTAAAACAAAATTAGCTAAAAATTAAAGCAAATTATAAAGAAATTGATAGATACTTTAGCAAGGAAAAAACTTTGTGGCAGTCTATGCAAGAACCCCTCTGCCCATGCTTCGTAAGTCTACATTTTTCAATCTTCGGCCAGTTCTGGAGGGAATTTTGCAACACAGACCTCATTGTTATATGGAGATAGATTTTTTATGAATGGGAACACTATATTGTTTCTTCAGGTTTCATATTGGCAAAGAAGATGGCGAATTTCACAGCACTATTTCGGAGGTTAAGTATCAAAGAGTTGGCGTCAAATGCACCTGTCTACAGCTCTGGCCGTGGTATGGTTTTCATCACCTGTTTTACGCGTTTCTGGTTCTTGATTTATACAAAGATATATTCAGTGGTTGGTAATTAAATAGTGCAAAAAAAGAAGTGAATTTTGAATGGTTCAGATGCGTCTGGAGAGGGATTGAGCTTAGTCCTCAGGCGCTGGGCTACGAAAAAGACAGCAGGATCTACAAAAAATGGGCGCGACTCGAAACCAAAGAATCTTGGGGTGAAGAAATTTGGTGGAGAGGTGAGAATATCTTTCTTTGCGTAGACGGATCATTTCCCTTTGTGCTTTATGTCTAGCTCTTAGAGTCAGTTTGTATGCTTCTTTTGTCCTTGTCCGTACTCCGGTCATGCTCCAATGGCTTCTTTTTGTTCATGATTTTGTATCTGAGCTGGGGTCTTTTGGAAACAACCTTTTTACTATCAAGTAGGTACAAGGTCTGCATACACACATCCTCCCGAGGCCCGACTTTCGTGGGATCCTATTGGGTCGATTGTTATGTTTTGCTTGATCAAATGGTGTTTGTGGTGCAGAGGGTTATACCTGGAAACATCATTGTTCGTCAAAGAGGAACCCGGTTTCATCCTGGAGATTATGTTGGACTTGGTAAAGATCACACGCTCTTCGCATTGAAAGAAGGGTGCGTCAAGTTTGAGCGCAACAAGCTGACTGGACGCAAGTGGGTCCATGTTGTGCCAAAAGACGGTTATCTTCTTCACCCCGTATACGCCACATCTGCGGTGGCTCCTGAGATGAAGACAGCTACTTAGGCTTTGTTTTGTAGCCTCATTCATCTTATTCTGCTTATTAAAAATCAACATTTGACTTGTTGGTTGCATTGGGTGATATCAAGATTCAACTGTTTAAACAGAATAACCTTTTTCTCCAGCGGCCCGTAGATTTCGGTCACATTTCTATTCGTTGCTAATTCTGATTTTCAGAATCATTTGTTTCAAAATTACTGGGGTATTTGATTTTGAAGAATTAAGGAGTCGATTACTTCTGAAAAATTAATGCAAGATTTTGCTAATTTTGGGATGAAAAATTTCAGAATTAGCTTTTTTTAGAAGCCAGGCTAAATGAACCTTCTCTTAGTGTTCTTGTTCTATTGTTGCACATGGCAATGAGATTTTCCATTTGATATTTTTTAATTCTTATATTTTGTAGTTATGAGCAATTATGGAACAACAGAAATGATTAGAAAGGGAACACGATTAACATTTATGCACAGCTATTTTCACACCACCTTCAGTCTTGCACCTTAGTTTCTGATACAATGTTACAGTCAAATGTATGACAATTGCCATTAACATCAATACAAGTGTCTAATGGTCTCAGCGACTCAAATCTCTGGCGCCTCTCCATGGCATTTTCGACCATCTGTTCAAAATCTTCATCCGTGCTTGACAGCATTTGTCGCAGGTTGAAATTAATATTATTCTCTACAAGGATTTTGTGTCTTGGGATTATTCTTTCATCAAGTGAATAGCTAAAAAACCTGAAAGAAGAGGATGATGAAGAACACATTTCAGTCATGTTCTAGTAATCTGGCTTAGCAAAATCATTAAACTTTTCAACTATTTATATGTATTCATACCTTGGGAATTCAACAAGATCATGGAGAGGGCGAACCATTGTTCTTCTCAAGTATTGATACTTGGAGCGAAGAAGATCGATGTTGTATTGGAGAATCGCTGGAAAGTCAGCTATCATCTCACCCAACTGCCGGAGAGGTATGCCAATGGAGAGAAAGTAATTCACGTTAGGGTCCAATTTGTTTGTGATGTCGCGCCCTAATACCTCTGGCCGTGTCGCTATCACCTTCCCAATATCTCTCTGGGAGACTCCAGCTTTTGTCAAGAGGAACATTACCTGTAGGCACACATTTTTGCAAGAGTTAATGCACTATTTATTTTACTCCATTTGACCAAATAGAGTAAAGAAAAAAGCTAGAGACCAGATTGAGTAGAAAGAACTAAGAGCTTGTTCTCTTCAACATTTCTTATTGGAATAAGACCAGATCAAATAAAAAACAGCTTTAAATAAAAGTACAAATCTACAATCAGATCGAAACCAATCAGATGTGAAGAGAAGAAGTCCTAGATCAAGCAATAATAACTCTGTGTATACAAAATGTTGTCTACTGAATCAATAGCAAAGAAATCATAAAGGGAGGAGTGGACAAACTGTTGGCCGTATTTTCTTCTCCAGGCTATACGTGAATATCCGGGGGAACCTGACAAGTACATTTCCAAGGGCATCTTGCCGGATGCCTATGTCTCTCAAAAACTGGACCTACACAGAAAAAACAAAACAAATTTGTCAGGCTGCATTTGGAATTCGGAAAATACTACGGAAAGAAACCAGAGGTATAGATTCAAAATGAAAATAAAAGATAGATTTGAACTCAACAAGACTAGTTTAAATATTTGTGCAGACGCATAACTTCTTCAAAAGTAATTTAGTAATACTTTGTATTTCATTTTCCTTCATATTTTCCAATGTAAAACCATTCCATTTCTCGAGATCCAAACTTACATGTTATGGCACTAAGAGCTGAGCATCACAGTAAAAACATGAAAATAAATGGTAGCAAGCAAATCGTCATACCTTAGGCACAATGGTGTTCTGCAAGTCAATGCAGAAAACTGTTGGGACAGCGACAAGAATTCTTCTCATTCCTCGTTTAGGAATCCCAAAGTAGTAGAAAAACTTAATGAGAGGCTTCCACTTCTCTTCAATGCTACAACCCATCAAATGTGGTTTGGATGCAATCAACCTTCCAACATCTTCACTACTAAGGCCAAATTCCTTCAGGTATGCAACCTGCTTAGAATTTGTTGCTTCAATATTAGAAAAGGCAATCCCAAATCCCAAAAAGGTGATCTTTAGCAATGTTTAGAAAATTTGGCTATCATTTTTCGGATTCCATACAGACCACAAGTGTTTTGCATAATTACACCACCTTGGAAACATTAGTGGTGGGCTGGAAGTAAATGAATGTCAACACACAGTTCACAAATGTGGTGTACCTTTTGGTTCGTCTCTTCCATACTTAAGTATCCGAGCGCCTTAGGACAATCAAAAACCATAGTCCCAAAATCCTTCTTACACATTCCCAGATTCAAATAGAATTCAACGCGCGTTTTGAGTTCTTCCATGCTAAATGACAATATTGTAGGGCATCTCCTAATCACATAACCTATGCAGTCCCTCCGGACTCCACTTTTTTCCAAATACTCAATACTCTCATCCAAATCATCAAAGCTTCGGCTGAACACATTCTCTCCTGATCTGAGCATTACAACCCCAATGAATCTCCCCTCCACCTGAACTGAATTTAGCCACTCAACTAACCGCCTTATGTACATCACGTCTCCTCTTGATTTACAGATAAGGTTCCCAATCTGAGGAAATGATAATGAGTTTTGTTTCAACCACCTATAGTCAGTCACGGTAAAATGCTTAATAATAATGTTTCTTCAAGAAGAAAAAACCGGCAAACAGCAGAACAAAACTTTTGAAAAATGACCAGAATTGTAGGGTCCAATTGAAACACAGAAAATACTATGACTAGGAAACAGCAAAGAAAACACATATTGGAATAAATGGAAGGAAAAACAATCTAGGGGAGTTCAAAGATAGATTAAAACTCAACAAATTTGTTTCAGATATTCTGCTGATACTCAATCTATTTATTTTGATTTTTATATGCTACTCAGTATATTAAGACTACTATGAAATCTAAGAACATGTAAAAAAAGGTTGAAAAAACTAATCACATTTGTTTTCTAATTGCATTTTCCAAGAAAACCAATAACAAGAAAATTTTCTTTAGCATATGCGCCCATTCCAAAATGATGTTCCACCTTACTATCCACACATTAACATCATACCCTCTTTCCTTACATATTTTCATTGACCATTCGATCGAATAAAATAGTCTTAGTCACCGCTCGCTTGATTTGTGAAGTTTTGATATACTAGTAATTTTAAATTCTACACCAATTATATAGTTTTTTAAAATTCTACGCACATTATAAAATAAATTGAATTAAAAATAACTTGATTCAAATGCACCTTATCATTGGCACAACTTCAGAATCATCTATGAATGCCCTAACTCGAGAATTGAAGGATGACTGCCAGAACTTAGGCATTTTCTTCATTGAAGCAGCCTGAATCATTACATGATCAATGTAATCGGACAATTTGGATACCAAATTTCTTGAATAAGATATCCCGAACTTGCCCTTTGTCATTTCCTCCATGAAAATCTCAGTGGTGACTCTCCTGCGTATCTCTAGGGCTTTAATGAGCATCCCCTCTTCATCATTGCCACTTTGATCATCAATTAGGGTGCGAACAGGGGACGATGAAGCATTAACATCTACGATTGATCCTGCAAATTGAGGGGTTCTTCTCATCAGTGAAAATTCTACAAGCTCCATTTCATCTTCTACCCACGGCACTCGATTTTCCGCCACCGCAGAAAATCCGGGCGGTGGTTCTGATTCCGAGCATTTCTTGAGAGATGGGGAGGGGAGGAGCGTAGAGGCCAATTTCGAACTGTGCTTTCGAGTACCACCAGCTTCATCGTTTATCAGAGCGAAGGTAGTGTTAGTTTGGGTTTTCTGACTATTTTCGTGGTAGTAGATGCAGATTGAGGAGCTCGGGAAGAGACGCCGGCGTTTGCAAGCGGCGGCGGGGAGGTGGAACGGCGCCGGGGAATTGGGGCGACAGTGGTCTTCGAGGCATAGAGTGGCGGGGAAACGGTGGAGCTGAAGCGGGCTAAGCATCTCCGATAGAGAGTTTTACCAATTTACTGTTGATGATACTATGCTATGCATCAAAATGAGAAAAAGAAAATGAAGAAGAAAGAAAATGAAAAAAAAAGGCAAAAAAGAACATTATTTGGATGAGTAAGAAATTAAAAGAGAAAAATGTGAAATTTTAAAACAATTAAAATAAAACAAAGAAAAATCTCATATTTTTTTAGTTTATTATATTTAAAAATTGATATACAAGTAAAAATTATAACTTACACATTTAAAAATGTACCTTAAAAAATTTACAAAACAAAATATAAAGTTTGATTAATTTTATTTTTTTTAATTTATCTTGGACATGTTTGGAAATAACGTTAAAGATTAGCATTATCGTTTTGAAAAGGCTATATACGGGCAACGTTTAACGTAATAGTTTTCAAAGCTAATGTACTTCGTACAATATTAAAATTTTATTCAAAGCGCTAACATTATTCCCAAACAGGCCCTTTATTTGGTTAGAAGTGTAAAGTTTAAAACTAAATTTATACATTTAAAAATTAAATTTAAAGTTTTACAAAATTAGAGGTGAAATGATTATATTAATAAATATTATTTTATCAAATGATTAATGAAAATAAATAAGAGAATACACATAAAAAGTTAAATGTTAAAAAACTATATTAAAAAATCTACAAAACAAAAGGCAATAAAAATATTTTATTTTATTGTAATTAATTAATGATAACATACAAATAGACAAAAATTATTTAGAGAAAATAAAATTGCAATATGTATATTGAGGATCAACTTGATTGGATTCTTTAGTCTTTACAGCGGCGCCTCACTCATTTCCGACCCGAAATCCTCATCTTTCTGCCTGATTCCCGCTGCCGATACACCGCTGAAAGAGAGAAAATTCCGACGGAGATCGAGAATCACCCCGTGAAGATGATACGAGCAGTGATACTGATGAACAATAAAGGGAAACCTCGTATCGTGAAGTTTTACGAGTACCAGGTCAGTACCTCCCGAACCCCAAATAAAATTATAATCTTTTATTTTGTACTTTTGAAATTTCTCAATTTGTTCGATCGTTGCTTTCAATTTTCATAATGCTCAGCCCGTGGAGAAGCAGCACGAGCTGATTCGGAAAATCTATGGAGGTTTGCTTTCATTTCATCTGCCATTTTAGAACAATCTTTTTGAATTGATTCGTTTTCCCCAGCATCATCCATCTTCGTGCCCATAGATTTCTGATCATTTTGGTGGATCATAATCCAAGAAATTGCTTTGGAATGCACTCCATTAATTAATGAAATGATCCCCAATTACAAGTGGCTTTCCAAATTTAGTCTCTGATTCTAAGGTATTACATAAATGGTCCTCAATTTTTTGGACTCTTCAATAAATAGTCCTTTAGGCCAAATATGACAATATTCGATCCACATATAGTCACTGAAAGACCGATTATGGAGTAGTTTTCTAAAATTGAGGCCTATTTATGTAATATCTTAGAATTGAAGACTGAATATAGAAAATTACCTCTAATTAGGGACCATTTATGGAATTTACTCATTTATGAATAACGTGGTGTTGCAGTCTTGTGTAGCAGACCTGAGAATGTGAGCAACTTTGTCAAGGTCGATTCGCTGTTTGGATCGGTGAGTTTTTTCGTGATTGATTCTGCAAATGGTTCACTCTGCTTTATTTTTCCTCATGAAAAAAGTCACGATATGATGAATGCTCCTTAGATAGAGATCTAAACCTTATACTACTCGCCGTGTCCCCAAAAGAAATTCATGTTTGCTATTCGGTGAAACTTTGACTTCATTTTTCATGAATTTTCACTACTTATTTGATAAAATAGTTTACCATTGTCACCTCTTGTATGGTATGTCTTTTTGTATGCAAATTTATAAAAAAGTATTTATTTTTCAATTGTAAACCAATTCTTAACTAGATTATTGAGAAGAAAACACTCTAAATAGGAGTAAAACATAGACAAAGTACTAAAATAGAAGCTCCATGTTTTTATCACCTAAATAGGTTTGGTATATTTTCTATGTTTTACTCCTACTTTAGTCTTTTTTCCTTAAATTGAGTTGAAAATACATCCATTCGCAATATTCATATTCATATGCTCTCTCGTACAGGATGCTCGGCTTGTATATAAGACTTACGCCACACTGCATGTGATCTTCGTTTTTGATAGCTGCGAGAACGAGCTGGCAATGCTAGATCTGATGCAAGGTATATACTTACGAAATGCAAAGTTTATTTTCCCACCCGTTAAGTTGCCGAACTAGATTCTCTGCATGCTCACAACTCAGGTCTCTAAACCATTTATATATTCTCCTTGTGGCATCTTAATGGGTTGTTCTTTTGCTGCGGTTTTTTTACCTTGACAAGTGCTTTTGTATGATTTTTGAAATTTCAGTTTTTGTTGAGACACTGGACAAGTGTTTTGGCAATGTATGCGAACTCGATGTAGTGTTCAACTTTAGCAAGGTTAGCACATTTCTTATGAAAAGTACGGAGTATTATTCAATGGTCTGTTTGGAATCCTGATAACAAATTTTGCAGGTGCATGCTATTCTAGACGAGATTATACTGGGGGGTCAAGTGCTTGAGACAAGCTCTATAGAAGTGGTTAAGGCAGTCGAAGAAATTTCAAAGTAACTCACGCCTCGCGGCAT